GCTTGAGGTCTTGGGGGCATGGTAGCCGATGACAGGGGGAGATGGTCCACCTCCATTTGGAACGAGACCAGGAGCATAATCTATGTCCTCGCCGCTTTTGCTCTTGCAAGGAGGAGAAGATTCTGTGGTCTGCAAAATAGAAAATGAGATCAGTCAAGATATTAATCGGCTGACAGTTATGTTTGCAAAACTGACAAGAAACTTACTTGAGGGATAGCTTCTAGAAAGAGATCTATCATATACATGGAGGCTGATTGATGGAACAGATGTAGTTTCCATTCACCCCACCACCTGTCAAATGCTTTGCTCCTGAACCTTGCCAATTCTATGTTCTCAATACTGCCTAGTTGAGGTCTTGGGATGTTGTTGATGTAAAAACACGAGGCTTGGGAGATCTGCTTAACTCCAGTGCAGGTCCAAAATATCTTGCCTTTAGGTTCAAGGGCGTGCCAGTTGATTTGATCCTGCAATCAACAAGGAATAAAGACAAAGAAAACGTAGTTAAATCATAAATGATAGCCGATCAGCCAGCCGCCGATGACGTATCATTTATACTCGAGCCGATGTCATCTTTGCATCGATCGGCTGTGCGAGGCAATAATAAAGGAACTAAACCTATTCGATCGGCTGTAGTTATTAACAATATATAATCTTTATGTCGGTATATGCTTAAACCAAGTGATTGGGATAGATCAGTCGCCATACCGAGGCAGTATAAATCACTTAGATCGAAACATGTATTAACAATGGGATTATATATGTTCATAGCATAGCCGATAAGATAGATCTAGCATGTATCGGCTAATACTCCGATACTACTCTATATTAAGATATTACCGCAAGGAAATATATCAAACAAGAAGCTTAACATATGTAAAAAAGCAATAAGATCTTAACATAAAGGGCAGATCTTGCATATATATTAAGTATATGAAATATAAGGCTAAATCAGGTAAGATCAGCTGAAACCCCGATACTACTCTAATCGACAACCAAGAAGCAGGCTAGAGATTATAGTTCTAAGCACGACTTATGAGATCAAACTCAACTGATGCAGCCATAAGTATGAAAAGAAAGACAATATCTAGACAATCAAGCTATTGGAAGCTTTATAGAGTGGTAGATATCTTATATAATCTAAGCCAATGTCGATATTTAACCTGATCGGCTACTCCCTAGCGATAGAAATTAGCTGATTGGAGGTTAGATAGCGATATTGTCAGAGATTATATGAGATATATGATAACTCAGCAACTTACATAGACAAGATTAGAGTATCATAATGATGGAAGCACTAATCCCGAGAACGCAAGCCGCCATAACAAGTCATACCTCTAGTTGAAGATCGAAATCGATGCAGCTCAACCTGAAAGCAAGAACTCGTCGAAACAAAATGAAAGTAAAAGGGTGGCGATGCGCCGAGATTGTATTTGAACGTGTGTTAATTGATTACATGGGGCTCGGGGTCTATTTATACCCGAGATTACAAAATATGTCCTTGTCGGACATGACTCTTATCTCTAACAAACTCTAAGATACCGTAAGTCTTTACGGCAGACTTTTGCCCAAACTTATCTCTAAGGAAATTACATAAAATATCCTAATTACTAGATTCAATTGCCTAATCAGGACTCTATCCATGTGTGGCAATCCACGTGAAGCACATCAACTCAGCCTGATGACGCAAACCGAGTCATATTGTTGGAATCGGATGTATCGGCTATCCCTATCTAACTCGGACTCAGCCGATCTGGTCGTAGCCGATTTGGACTCTAGCCGATTCTTGCTCTGTTTTCGAAATGATCTTCGTCTTCGATTCCGCTTCGATCTAATCTCCATCTCCGATACTAAGGTTACCAAATTTGGTCGTTAACAGATGTTCAGCAGCCGATCCAGCAAGAAGGCTGAAGATATATCACCTCGGCATTGAATCTTGTCGGCAAAGTACAAGCCGATCGGTAGCTGCCCCATTCCAAGCTGCCTAGCCGAAGTCATCGGATGGTAGAATTCGTATGAAGCCTAAATATTTCTGCCCTAGTGAATGCCGACTGGAAGAATGCACGGGCTGATAGCAGTAGTGAAGACTTATCTGGATGACTAATATCTTTCATGGTTGATGTCTTCAAATCTGAAATCGGCTGGCAGTTCAAAATCCATTGAGTCGGCATAAGGGAACCAGACCCGGGTATCTTTTTGAAATCCATCATAAAAACTAAAGAATCAGTCTTTCAGGAATTCAGCCGATAACTTTGCTCCAGCATCGGCTGGTGTAGATGCATATTCACCATAAGACATGCACCTACGGTGGGTTCGCTCTTCCCCATCTTCATCTGTGATCGGCTCCAGTCTTGGGAATTCTGCTTCTGTCACAGATGGCTGATTGACAGCTTTCATGGCTACTAAGTTCAGCCAAGACTGCAACAACCACCATGGCCCACCTGCTCCAACCACTGAGCCGACGGCTATCTTAGCCGATGCATTGTTCAACATTTGGTATAGATAGCCGAGGAGAATTTTGCCCAAAGGGAATTGTCTCTTTGTTTCTAAGGCTTCGGCTAAGAATTGCCAGTTGGTTGTAGGACCACTGCTTGATCCACAAAAAAGAAATTTCTCCAACCACATCAGCAGAAAAGCTACATGCTCTCGAGAGGTGACTGGCCGTTTGCCCATGTATGCTGCAATATACCCCGACCAACCCCCAATGCTTTTGGTCTTGAAATCAAAGGTATTTTTGGTGTTCAAGCTCATAGAATTAGCTGATGAGGTCACATCCAGACCAGTAATCATGATGATATCTAACAAAGTAGGGGTCATCGGTCCTTGGTTGAACAAGAAGGCATTAAGAGTATTGGACCAAAAATAAGTTGCAGCGGCTATCAGGGGCTCATCCTTTGCCGAATTTGCTATTGTGAGGGATAGGGCTTGACCGATTCCGATTTCATCCCAGTGGGCCTGCATGCTAGCCGATACACGCTTGTACCATACAGGCCAACTTTTCTCAAGGGAAGGCCATGACTTAAAAGTGTTTTTCCAATGACTTATGTTTGGATTGGCCAGCCTAAAAGGGATCCTATTGGTTTCGACTATGATGAATTCAGTGGGATCAAGGTTGCCGATTGGACCGAGAAAGTACTGATGGTCGTGCGACAAGCTGGGAACCGCAACAAGATTGGAAAGATGCTACAAGTGCAAAAGAGGTAGAGAAGAAGAAAACAAGATGAGATGAAGAAAATCGATCTACTACACAGGAAAAAGGCATCTAGCCGATGGATACATACCTCTGCATACTCGGCTGGTGGTGCAGCAGACGGGCTGGTTGATGGCGCAGCGGACGGGCCAGTGGAAGTCGACATCACTGCGAGCAGAGGCTTGGTCGGAGAAGAGATCGCCTTGAAATCGCCGAGCGCACTGAGGGGATCGCCGGAGAGAGGAAAAACTAGGTTGGCTTTAGCGGTGAAAACGGAGGAAACAGCGTGAAGTTTCTCGGAGGTGACGGTTAGTATTTAAAGCGCTGGAGTAACGGTCAGAAAACGGCAAGTGCGAGTTTCTCTCGGAAATGGATATGGCAAATCCGAAACATTACCAAATATTCCGGACTTTGGGAGCATGTGTTAACGACCAAATTTGGTAACCTCAGTATCGGAGATGGAGATTAGATCGAAGCGGAATCGAAGACGAAGATCGTTTCGGAAACAGAGCAAGAATCGGCTGGAGTCCAAATCGGCGACGACCAGATCGGCAGGGTTCGAGTCGGACAGGGTTAGCCGATACAGCCGATTCCGACAATACGACTCGGTGTATGTCATTGGGTTGAGTTAATGTGCTTCACATGGATTGCCACACTCGGATTGGGTCCTGATTAGGCAATTGTATCTATTAATTAGGATATCTTATGTATTTCCTTAGAGATAAGTGTGGGCAAAAGTCTGCCGCAAAGACTTATGGTATCTTAAAGTTTGTTAGAGTTAAGAGTCGTGTCCGACAAGGACATATCTTGTAATCTCGGGTATAAATAGACCCCGAGCCCCATGTAATCGGATAACACACATTTAAATACAATCTCGGCGCATCGCCACCCTTTTACTTTCATTTTGTTTCGACAAGTTCTTGCTTTCGGGTTGAGCTGCATCGATTTCGATCTTCAACTAGAGTTATGACTTGTTATGGCGGCTTGCGTTCTCGGGATTAGTGCTTCCATCATTATGATACTCTAATCTTGTCTATGTAAGTTGCTGAGTTATCACATATCTTATATAATCTCTGACAATATCGCTATCTAACCTTCAATCGGCTAATTTCTATCGCTAGGGAGCAGCCGATCAGGTTAAATATCGACGTTGGCTTAGATTATATAGGATATCCACCACTCTATGAAGCTCCCAATAGCTTGATTGTCTAGATATTGTATTTCTTTTCATACTTATGACTGCATCAGTTGAGTTTGACCTCATAAGTCGTGCTTAGAACTATAATCTCTAGCCTGCTTCTTGGTTGTCGATTAGAATAGTATCGGGGTTTCAGCCGATCTTACCTGATTTAGCCCTATATTTCATGTGCTTAAGTGATATGCTAGATCCGCCCTTTATATTGAGATCTTATTGCTTTTAGATATGTTAAGCTTCTTGTTTAATATATTTTACTCGCTTTAGTATCTTAATATAGAGTGGTATCGGAGTATTAGCCGATACATGCTAGATCTATCTTATCGGCTATGCTATGAGCATATATAATTTCGTTGTTAATATATATTTCGATCTAAGTGATTTATACTGTCTCGGAATGGCGACCGATCTATCCCAATCACTTGACTTAAGTATATAGCGATATAAAGATTATATATTATTAATAACTACAGCCGATCGAATAGGTTTAGTTCCTTTATTATCGCCTCGCACAGCCGATCGATGCAAAGATGACATCGGCTCGAGTACAAATGATACGTCATCGGCGGCTGGCCGATCGGCTATCATTTTTGGATTAACTACGGTTTCTTTGTCTTTATTTCTTGTTGATTGCAGGATCAAATCAACTAGCACGCTCACGAACCTAAAAGGCAAGATTTTGGACCTGCATTGGAGTTAAGCAGATCTCCCAGGCCTCGTGTTTTTACATCAACACATGGCTAGAGCGTGCAAGGACCGAGGAGGGGTGGCATGTCTACTTCTTATCGACGTCGACCAATATATGGCGCCGTAAGCCGGTGCGCCTCGCCCCTGATCACGAGCTCCATGACTGCTTCTGGGAGGTGTCGTCGATACTATCCTACCGAGGTAGGTTCTGGTGGGTGGACCTACGTCGCGGTTTGCTATCCTGTTCCTACGATTCTCTCTTGCTAGAAGACGACGATCCGCTAGACCTCGATTTCACACTGCTCCCGAACGTCGCCATGGAGGAGGCCAAGAAGGGCCATCTATCCGAGTATCCGCTGAACCGAGACCGGTGCGTTGGTGTCAGCAGCAACGGCCTTAGGTATGTCAAGGTGCGCGCACACAGGCAACAGCACTGCCCGAGCAAATCGCCGGTAGCACCCCCGCCTCTCTGCGACGATTGTCGGGCCGGCCCTGTCACGTCCTCGGTCCTGTACGACCACAGCGGTGCATGGGCAGAGGAGCGCATGCTCAAGCTTGCAGATGTCTGGAGGGACGAGAGCTACCGATCCACGGGTCTACCGAAGGAGGTGGTGGAGTTCCCTCTCATTGACCCGTTCGATGGTAACATCGTCTACTTCTGTATCAATGAAGGCAAAGATGGCGACGGCCGCGAGTTCTGCGTCCATCTAGGGACCAAGCAGATCAAGGCCTACAGCAGCAGCTACAAGGGCTTGAACAACGGAGCCTTGGAGCCTGTAAGTTCACTGGTCGCCCCCGTTTCAACATGTTGTTTTCATCAATGTACTATATTAATTATTTTGCTATTTTCTCTTGCAGTGTTCACAGCGAGTTTGAAAAGCACCCGCAACTATGATTAGCACCCGCAACTATGATGTCTGCTTCGACGACTGACTGGGATTTGTCAAACCCTGCTCTCTTCCACGCCTTTCAACATCTTCAACCTATTCTTCAACATCTTCAATTTCTGTGAAGCGACTAAAAATGGCATGAAAATATATGCCAACTTCCCAAATAAACACAAGGCTCTGAGTGCACCTATTATAGGTCTTTTTTTTTTGGGACTGCACTTCCAAAAAGAAAAAAAACTGTAAATCATAGGGCCATAACATATCTTGGTTCTTGTCTTATCCGCACCATTGGCAAACAATATCATTGCTATATCTCTATTTCTACTCTGTATAGCTAAATGCAACGGTGTCCACCAATCATGCATGAAACAAAAAATTATAAAAGAAAAATCAATGGCACTGTGAAGGGTTGAACCAATAAGAAAAAAAATGCACAATAGACAACTCTTACATTATCAGCAACATTGACATCAACCATGTTTTTATCAGTAACTTCACAGTTTGCAGGACACCAACTTGAATTGCATAATATAATGGTGTGGCTCCATCATGCAAATCATACAGATTTAATTCAAGGGCCAACATGACATAAAAATATCTCAAATTGGAGTGGAAATTGTGATGTACTTACGTTGCTAGAGAGAAACCAGATCAATGTGAGAGGCGCTAACATCACAAAGTTTACTATATTCCACATACTAATGTTATTATGGAACACAATTCATAGAAATAGTTTGCAGCCTTTAAATCATAAGTCATCAAAAAGCCGCATAATAAATCTGGAGTGCAAGAATAATGGAATTAATTATAACTTGATTGTTTTCAAACTTAGCAGCTTTATAGAAGTTCGGTGCCATCACTAGTTCAGAATTGTGCACAGTAAAACACATAGAAACAATGCAGTGGTTGGTTTCATCGTAAAGAAATTAAATTGAGCCTTTAGAGTTATGGAGCAATACGTTATGTTTTTTTAGCAAATCATTTAATACAATAAAGCAAATGTTTAGGACAGGGCATCAAAATAAAATTATAACATATAGTTATCAATTTATACAGTTAAACTCTTCCTTTATCAAAATTCTAATAAAATATTTCATAAGTTAACCAATCATATAGGGTAATAATCAGGACATAAAGACAGTAGAAATAAATCATTGAAAGAAATCAGTCACCATCTATTTGTATTCAAGATTAGATTTCAAGGGTTATAATATAATTCCATTATGTGCTATTGAGTGTGCTAGTTAGGCATACTTCTTGTGCGTGTACTAGTGATACTTGCGTGCGACTTTCGTCGCGTTCGGGTAGAACATTAAAAGTTTTGGCGGTATTCAATGCAAATGCGATGCATCGTATTACCATACTCTCTCTGGGTCATCTGCTTGGTGAATCATAGTCGAAAAATACCCATTCTTGCTTATAGTTCTTGTTCTATGAGAGGTAGGGTATGTACCATAATCCTCTAAATGCTAACGTGCTCATTCGTTTAGCGTACTTATTCATGAGAGTAGCTTGGAGGCACTGGCGAGAGATTGAAATGCTAAATCAAACTCATCGAGTTAATGCACATAGCGCGATTGGATTAATGATACCGTAGAGCTTCTTGCTCTATCGTAATTTCGACATTGAACAAATAATATGTCAGAAATATTCTAGATTTAGCAAATTTCTAATTTGCGATGCCAGTCATCTTTCGTTATTCAAAAATATGCACAAATTAAATGCCGATAAAATGCACAAGTGTTGCAATATAATGGTACACAAAATTCTCGCAAATTATTTCAGTATATACTATGCAATTCTATACATTTTATCGCAACGATATTAATTAAAAGTAATGAACGCATCGCAAATAATTAATAATGCGATAAATTTCATAATCACATATATCAGCAATAAAGGTACCTGAAAAGCAAATCGGGGTCGAAATCCAATGTCCCGTGGTCCCTTTTATGCGAGAATATGATTTTGGTGATATTTGCAAATTTCAAATGCCACTCAAACAAATATCCCAATACAGAGGGTTAATTGTGTATTTTCTGAAAAATTCAGGGTTTAAAAAGGAAAATTTCCTAAGTAGTGGAATATGCACTTAATTTCCAAAAAATACGAGGGCCTTTTTGCAAAATTACGGGAATATTTCCACTTTTCCTTTTTCTTTCCCTTTTTTTTTTCTTACCTTCCTTTTCCTCTTCCTTTCCTTATCTTCTTCTCCCGTTGACTGCGTGGTCGAGGAGGCGCAGGCGACCAGGCGACGGCGCGGCCGTGCGCCGGCGGCCAGGGGGTGGCGCGGCCAGGCGGTGGTGCGGCCAGGCATCGGCGCGGCCGTGCGCCGGCGGCCAGGCGAGGGGGGCGACTCGGCCGGCGGCCAGGCGAGGGGGGCGACTCGGCCGGCGGCCAGGAGTCCCGGCGCGGCCAGCCGGCGGCCAGGAGGGGCGGCGCCGTCGGCGCCCAACGCAAGCCGGCGCGGCGGGGAAGTGCGGTCCGTGCGGTGGCGGTGCGTGGCCGTGTTGCGTGGCTCGACGCGGTGCGGAGGCCGGGATGGCACGACGGCGGATGGCGGCGGGCGGTCGGCGGCGGTTGCTTGGCCATCCGATTCGGCTCGCCACCTTTTCTTTTTTTTTTCTTTTCCCTTTTTTTTTTCATTTTCTTTTCCTCCTCCTGTTTCCTTATCTCCTTCTTTCGTTCTATTCCCCTTTCTCTGTGCCCCCGATGGCGCCTTGCCATGTGTGGTCGTCGGCCGGCAGCGCGCCTGGCGGTGGCGCAACTGGCGCGGCGAGCCGAGGGGTGCACCCATGTGGCGGGCCACTACCGGGCTGTGGCGGAGTGGAGGAGGAACTCAATCGGCCGGGCAGTGGCTGCAGCCTGTAGGTGCGGCAACGGCACGACGTCTGTGTTGTGGCGGCACGTCTGCCGTGCTGGGCGATGCGTCCTCCAGGTGCGGGCGCGACTGCAGTTGGCACGGCCGGTGTGGCCGTCGGGTGCGCGGTCATGGTGCGGCCATGTCGCGGCCAACAGACGGAGCATGTACGGCCATTTCTTCTTTTGCTTCTTTCCTTCATCTTCAGTCCTCTCTGGCCAGTACATCCATGGCACGTCGGCACGCCGCCTTGCAGGGTGCGGCCGTGGTGTCGCATGTGCGGGCTAGCGGCCATGGCGCGGGTTCGCTGCCGTGGCGTGTTGCCGTCACGCCAGTGCCGTGTTTCGTCGATCGCGGTTTCCACCAATCGGCATAAGCCGGCGACTCCAAGTCGGCTGTGGTAGATTTCGTCGAGAACGGCAACGGCGGAATAAGAACGAAAAGAGGAATTGGTTTTCGCGATTAGATCGGCGAGATGCAAAATGGATGTGTGAGTTCTTACCCTTCTTCTTCCTCGGTCTTCGGGTCTTCGGTAGAACGTTGTGCTCGGTCTTTGGTAGAACGTCGTGCTGATAACGTATTACGCAACCCTTCTGCTACTATACGAAGTAGTCCAAGAGAGTCCTGTAACTCTGCAAAAGTGGAGACACAAGATATGAGGGTGTGACATCCTTTTAAATTCATCCATTGCATTCTCAAGTGTATAAAACCTCTCCTCCAACCATCTATTTATAGGACAATGCCTTGCCCACTTTTCATATTAGTGATGAGTCCAATTAATGGGTAACCGGGCTGGGTCTTCATGGTCCGACGGTTTCCTAACACCTACCTCTGCTTTTTCAGTTTTCTTTTTTTTTATCCCCTTCTACGTCCCCTCTCAGAAGTGAAAACAAGAAAAAAAAAATACTTCCCTCCGTTTATGTCCCTTATCTCGTTCCGTTATTCGAGTAAAACAATTATGGACATGACTGCATAGCTACCGGTCTCTGGTTTGCCTAAAGGAGCGATCACTCCATCCTAGATTTAAATCTCCTTTTAGCTTAAAAAGTACTATAGTGTATGTTTTTTTACCTCTTTAATCACTTATATCTTTTAAATCACATATTATTTTTAAGATCTATTTGCATCATTGTACTCCACTTAAAATATGTGACAAAATGAGATCCATGTTGAATATATTAAAATATTTTATAAATTTAAAAGTAATTTATTTAAATTGTAGAAGTAACTTAGCTATATAATAGTATAATAGAAGTAACTCTATGTAGCATTAGAAGTAATTACATTATGAGTGAGTTCCAATAAGAAACTATGTGGAGTAAATTCAAAAGTGTAGAGAAGATTTTCATGTAAATACATTTATGAAAGTAAATTTAATAAAACTTGAAAGTAATTTATATAAATTATAAAAGTAACTTAGCATAAAATAAAAGTAAGTTGTTACGATATTAAAAGTAAATTCGTCGTAGGAATAAAAATATAAGTCTATTTAGAAATTAAATTTAATCAGCACAAATTATGGAATTGAGTAAAAACAATAATAAAAGTAATCAACTCAAAGCATTATGAAATTATGAGAAGTAACTTAATCAAATCTAAAAGTAATTTATATATAAGATAAAAGTAACTTACATATATGATAAAAGTAATTTACAACATAAATATTTTTTCATCATAATATTATCATGTAAGATCTTGTTATAAAGATTTAATTGCAACAAACATAATGATGTAATCGGATTATAGATCGGATAAGTAATTTAAGAGAAAATTTTATAAGAAGAAAAAAATATGCACAACCTAATAACAAAAACTACTTGCATGCATGTCTGTAATGCTACTAGTACTTCTCACGTAATTGTCCGCACGTAATTGTTCGCGTCGCTCGTTAAGTCTAAATCGATATGCCTCTCGAAATAGATTTTGCAAACAATTATCATTGTAAAACCCATTTATATCCCTCGTGTTCCATTATCTGAGTATAAAATAATTATCCTAGTGAAATGCAAGCCTAGTTACCCTAGTTTTGTATCTATTTCTACCTATCATCTCGTTCTATTATCAGAGTAAAAAACAATTATCCTGATAAAATATCAAGCTATTTACTCCATGTCTAATAATTGCCACTACGGTAAATTTTATTCACGTTTTCATTTGTAAGAGTAATCTATTTACTCCATTTTTATTGGGACAGAACCCTGAGTAATCTATTTAATCCATTTTTTATCGGGACAGAACAATGAGTAATCTATTTACTCCATTTATTTTTTTGGAGAGAACACACTGCACTTGGTGTGGGTAAAACAATTACACAATGCAGAACAATCCATTCTTGTGGTCACTTCTGTGAGTAAAACAATTACACAATGCGCCAATAGATCTTCAGTCATGTACTCCTGTGGCCGGTGTGTACAGCCAGCGGAACGCAGCGGCATTGGAGACGCATCATGCATGCAATGGCGGTAGTCGGTAGAGGAGCCAGGGCAGCAGCAGCCCATCGGAGGCGATCAGCAGGTGGAGGAACCACCAGGGACCAGATCCAAGGCAGCGCGATGAATGGAGATGAGCAATGTGCTGACGATGACGACGGGGCGCTGCAATGTGCTGAGGACGACACCGTCACAATTAGGGATGGCAATTTAATTCGTTTGCTCGTTTACTCGTGGGTAAAAACTCTAATAGAGTTGGTTTTGTTCTCCATTTAATACCCATGAGTTTTTTATTGGGTCAAAACCTGTACGCAACGGGCATACGGGCACGGGCATGGGTAGTGACTACCCATGCCCGCTTCGCCCGTTTACCCGCAAAAACCAACTGACATGTGTTCCCTCAATCAAATTAGTATAAATGCCACCATCTAGTATTGATGAACTTGTAATACTTGTATTGTTGAACTTGGTACAACTGTACCTTTTCTTTAAACTGTGATAATGTCTCTCTGCTTGTGGAGCTTTGTGGTTAAAGTGTCGAACTGTGAGTACGTGGCAGGTAAACAGGCATGCCCGTGGGCACATGGCGCCCGCGGGCAACGGGCATGGATAGTGTTCCTTACCCGTCATGTAGTAATGAGCATGCCCGCGGGCATGAATTACCTCGCGGGCACGAGCATGGGTAGTCACTACCCGTGCCTATGACATCTCAGCCCAGGGCTTAATAGAATTAATAGAATACTCATATCAACAAGTTGCAACTTCTTTTCTGGAAGCCGATCTATAAAGAACTCTGAGGTTAAGAGTGCTTGGACTAGAGCAATTTAGGGATGGATGACCGATCGGGAAATTCTTTCCGAGTGCGCACGAGTGAGGACAAAGTGTACAGAAAAGACATGTGTTGGTCTGTGAGGGCAGTCTATGACCTATGAAAGCTACCAGATGTAAGCGGGCCCGGCCTGGAAAAGGCGGGACGTTACAAAATGGTATTAGAGCCGACTCTCGTGGTTTCACGGGCACGTGTGTCGCAGTATGGTATCAGAGCTAGGCATGGTGCGCATGGCTGGTGTGGACCCGGAGTGGTCATACAGCATGGCACATGCGCTGGCACTAGACACACAGACGTGGCCAAGAGGGGACGTTCCGACTCTCGCGGTTTCACGGGCGCGTGTGTACAAAGTGTGCAGAAAAGACATGTGTTGGTCTGTGAGGGCAGTCTATGACCTATGAAAGCTGCCAGATGTAAGCGGGCCCGGCCTGGAAAAGGCGGGACGTTACAAAATGGTATCAGAGCCGACTCTCGCGGTTTCACGGGCGCATGTGTCGCAGTATGGTATCAGAGCCGACTCTCGCGGTTTCACGGGCGCGCGTGTCGCAGTTGCGCAGGCATGGTGCGCATGGCTGGTGTGGACCCGGAGTGGTCACACAGCATGGCACATGCGCTGGCACTAGACACACGGACGTGCCCAAGAGGGGACGTTCCAGGCCTAGGGTTGATCGACGGGGATGTCGATCTCTCTTTAGGGGGTGAGGATTGTGACATCCGTGTTGGTCTATGAGGGCAGTCTATGACCTATGAAAGCTGCCAGATGTAAGCGGGCCCGGCCTGGGAAAGGCGGGACGTTACAAAATGGTATCAGAGCCGACTCTCGCGGTTTCACGGGCGCATGTGTCGCAGTTGCGCAGGCATGGTGCGCATGGCTGGCGTGGACCCGGAGTGGTCACACAGCTTGGCACATGCGCTGGTACTAGACACACGGACGTGGCCAAGAGGGGACGTTCCAGGCCTAGGGTTGATCGACGGGGACGTCGATCTCTCTTAAGGGGGTGAGGTGAGGATTGTGACATCCCAGCCCAGGGCTTAATAGGATCAATAGAATACTCATATCAACAAGTTGCAACTTCTTTTCCGCAAGCCGATCTCTAAAGAACTCTGAGGTTAAGCGTGCTTGGCCTGGAGCAATTTAGGGATGGGTAACCGATCGGGAACGGGAAATTCTTTCCGAGTGCGCACGAGTGAGGACAAAGTGTGCAGAAAAGACATGTGTTGGTCTGTGAGGACAGTCTATGACCTATGAAAGCTGCCAGATATAAGCGGGCCCGGCTTCGGAAAGGCGGGACGTTACAGTGCCCGTCATCTCGGCCACATCAATCCGCTCTGGTTGCCGCACTTGCTCGATCTGTCAATGGCGATGAGGAAGGCATATAGGACTGGAGGACCCCGCGCTGCCGGCGAGGGTGATGCGAACCTCACCCTCACCCGTTGCCTCGAGCGCGTCGACGCGGCGACGCCTGTCATCCTAAGCACCATGATGCCTGCCAGCAAGAGGGTCTCGATGCCGCCGCCGCTAGAAGCGCCTCATCCCCACTGATCCCCCCTCTGCCGGCAAGGGTGACCCTCACATGCGGCTTCGGAAAGGCGGGACGTTACAGTGCCCGTCATCTCGGCCACATCAATCCGCTCTGGTTGCCGCACTTGCTTGATCTGTCAATGGCGATGAGGAAGGCAGATAGGACTGGAGGACCCCGCGCTGCTGGCGAGGGTGATGCGAACCTCACCCTCACCCGTTGCCTCGAGCGCGTCGACGCGGCGACGCCTGTCGTCCTAAGCACCATGATGCCTGCCAGCAAGAGGGTCTCGATGCCGCCGCCGCTAGAAAGCACCTCATCCCCACTGATCCCCCCTCTGCCGGCAAGGGTGACCTTCACATGCCACCTCAAGCGCGTCGATGCCCATAGAGAGGAGGGACTCGATGTTGCTGCTGCCGGGAACGCCTCCTCCCTCGATGGTGCCACCGTAAACCGGTTGCTTCATCGATGGCAATGGGACGAACTCCTCCATCGATGGCTGCCGCCAGCAAATCCTCGCATGGTGGCAACTAGAACAGCCTCCTCTCGCTCCGGATAAAGCGGAGTGGACAACGGTCAAATGAGTGGTGGGTGGTTTGTATGTGGTAAAAAAAACCATATAAATAGGAAGGTTCATGATATAGCTAGTAAAAAAAATTACAACTTTGATTTGTTCATTGTCTTGCTGAGTGGGGCTCATGCATGTGGGAGCGCTGGCGCTGGTAGTGGCGCGTTGCAACGCACTACGTGTTGGATAGTAGTTCTATTAAATTCTATGCATTGGAAATATTAATATTTACATTATTGTGATATTAAACTAAACATAAAAGATGGATTATAAAATGAAATAGAGGAGAAAAGGAAATAGGGGCTAAGAAATAGATGTTGTTGTTGGAGTTAGAACCATTTTTAGAGACATAAGGAAATGGGGGCAGCCCTCATTTAACTTTTAGGGACTCTAAAATAAGAGCTATTGTTGGAGATGCTACAAAACTAAAATTTTAGAATATGGAAGAGCATAGGGGAACTAGTCTATAATAAATACCCTACCATATGATAGCTGAAACAACACCACGAACTTATCAGGCCTCCATTACTTACGGGATCTAAAAAAAACTACATTAATTATTTACCTCGTAGAATCTGGAATCAAGAGTAAATTTCACGTTACTACAGATTTAAAATGTTCTCTCATAAAATTATAGATTTAGCGTCAATTTTATCACGAAACTACAGATAGAACACTAAGTATCACAAAATTATAGATTTAGTATTGAAGTTATCACAAGACTAAATATTTTAGAGTTCAAATCACTAGCATTACCATTATGTTGGAGTTATAAATATTGTAGTTTTGTGACTAAATTGTTACTAAACAAATAATTTTGTTAAATTTGCTAATTAATCTATAGTTTCATAATAAATTTAGTGTTAAATCCAATAGTTTTTTATACAACTTCAATTTTATAATAGCTTAGTTAAAATACGGATAACACTTCATATCGCGTGTTCGACGCAACAACAAATATCGGACGGCTAATCTACCCATGCTTTTCTTATCCTCCCTCGTTTTTTCGCTGCTCCCCATTTTCTCCGTCGCTCACGCCCTTTTTTCCTCTGCTAATGGTGTTGCCCCGCCCCAGCCACGCGCCGCCGGCCTGATGTCAGCTCCTCAGTCAGGTTCGAGCGGGAGCGCTGGATCTGGCCGCGGGGGACCGGATCCGTTGCCTCGACGGCAGCTTCGCAGAGTCGCGCCGCCGTCTCTCGTCACCACTTCCCTTCATCGTCGCTGCCCGTTGCCTCCCGTCTGTCGCCACCGCAACCGGAGCCGCCCCAGATCTGGTTTGCGGGCTTCAATCTCGAAGTCTTTAGGGTGGAAGGGCTGGCCCCGTGTGCCACCGTCCTTGCAGTCGACGGCGGCAAGACGGGGGATAGGAGGAGGTGACGGTTGGCGACAGGGCGAGGGGGAACGCCGCCCGTGTCACCCCAAGTCCCCAGTCCAGAGTGTTAAATATTTTTTTTTATGTTTCACTTGTTTGCGTTTGGTGTTGCAATCATTACTTTTGGATGTTGCATCTGACTTATACCTTTTTTTTGAGAAATGATCTGAAATAACTCTTTGTTGAAACAATTTTTATTGGTTGGTGAAACATTTTCCATTGAATAATGAAACATCTTAATGAAATATTTTTTAATGAGATGTGAAACATCTGCAACATTTTTTTTACGTGATGAAATACTGTCCGGATTTTTGACTGTGATCGGACATCTGAAACAAGTTTATTGAAACATCTTTTAATGAGTGGTGAAACATGTGCAACATTTTCTTTTATGTGATGAAACATTGTCTGAAATTTTAACTGGGATCGGACGTCCGATCCCTAGTCATCTCCTTAAAATACTTGTAGTTTTATGGAATTTACTCTAGACTAGAATCAACTACCGAAAACAAGCAAACTCATTCGGTCACTGCGCTCAGACAGCCAAAATTAAAGCTAGTACAAATTTAAACCTCTGAATTTAAAATTGAAAGCTTCAATCTAGCTACTCAGATACTCTGATCTCTTTTGCATTTTCATCACATGAGGGAGCATGCGTTGGGGTCCTCGTCGTTGAACAGGTTGGTGAGCCGCTCCTCCGTCCTGCCGCCGCCGGACACGTAGGCGGCGGAAGAGGCCTCCACGTTCCTGACGTGGCCGGGTGGGGCCCGCCTGTCATAGGCGGCGGCGGCGACGTACGGCTGGCTCGCCGCGCTGTACGGCACGTACGGCCACAGCTCGGACTTCTTCCCCGTCGACTGCGCCTTCCTCAGCACCTTGCTGGCCTCCACGTACCCGCTCACCGTCACCTTCTGCTGCTTCCTGTTAATCTTCACCGACTCGACGCCTGAAAAATCATACAAAAAACAAACAGAAACTAAAACATTCAAATTCAAATTCAGGCGAGGAAAACCACAAGATCTTTGTGCCAAAATACTGCATGCATATATGTGTGTTTTGCTGGAAAAAAAATTACAGGACAGGAGAAGAACCTTTCAAGGTGGAGAGGGCGTTCTTGACCTTGAGCTCGCACCCATCACAGTCCATCCTGACCTTCAGCTCCACAGTCTGCAGCTGCCTCCTCTTGCTGTTCTTGTGGCCATGGTGATGATCGCCACAACTGAACAGGCCGGCCAAGTACTCCAATGAGCCTCCCATTTGACACCAAGTTTCTGAAGAACCGAAAGAGATCGATCTGAGCCGCTAGCTTGACTGCAAACACGAATGGAAACCAAATGTGAGGCAGATTAACTAGTATATATGCATGTTCAGCACGAGATAGAAAGCATCTGCTGTTCCTTTTGGCAGTGATAGTAAAAGCCAGATAATCTGAAAAGTGTCACCGATCAGATGCAGCCTTTTTTTTTCCCCTCTTTTTCTCCCCTCAAATAGGCAACGACAAAGTGATGATGGATTGAAAGCAAAAAGGAGATGAGAAAATCAGTGCCTTTGATGCAAGGAAGCTCAGCTCAGATCACTATTTAGATACCTATCACCTTGTGGTTTTCACAGTTCAGATCTCACTATCTATCTGTGAGTACTGCTCTCTACATGGCCACATATCTCCTTTTTTATAGGCACCTGCAACTGCAAAAGCATGAGGCTGCCTGAATGCCACAGCTGTCAAGTGCACACAATGCTTAGCACTGGTGGTAAGCAAGAGCCTCTCATCAAGGAAGGCACAACTGTGGCATGCAGGGGCAAATCAACAAGAAAGATCCCCTCAAGGAAATTAGAACACAAGAAAGGCACTGAGCCAAAAAGGACGAAACAATGGCAACCTTGTGTTAACTGTTAAATCTTGAGAGAGACTACTCTTTGTGAAAGGTGAGGTCTCTAAATGTTAAGGTTTGTGTTGCAGCTAATAGTGTTCTATTGGATTAACTCGTGCAGTCATCTGATGTGCACCCTCTATTCTGAAAAAAAAAAACTTCTACCTATAAATCAGGACACACCATTATTTCGATTTCAAAGTTGATTTTTTCTTCTTCTTTTTTTTTGACAGAGCAAGTAATGGTGATTGATCACAGAGACACAGGAAGGAAGCATGTGGTCTTTGGTCTTCCTTATCTTGTCCCACTGTCCACTGATGGACGTGATGCCCCCTTTCTCTCGGATGACAACAGAGCTCAGGCATTATCTTCTGAATCCATTTACCTGACGATAAAAGGTAAAAAACTACTTCAGGGAAATCAATTCTTTACACGAGTTTGAACTCTTTTATGAATTTAATCGTTTTCCATAAAATTCTCGCGAAATATCACGCATGCATGTTGCATTCCAACGGGATGATAATAGCACCCAATAAGTTTTGCATGATATACACATTTTACTCTGCCAACACAATGTATGTGTATACAGTCTTTCCACTGATCAGATATGCACAGAATTGCAGGGGGGAAATAAACTGTTTCTCCATCAGTGCAGAAAAAAGGAGTGAAGCACTGACGGTGATCCATAATGACTAGCAATACACTGTTGCAAATCTGTCTGCTAAACACAAGAAAATTGCATATCCACCATCGCATAAGGTTGGATTCGCTGAAATGTCATCACTTAAATGGGCTTCGCTAGAATACCACCCTCAACCGAATACCATTTGACACAATGCCATTTTCATCATTTCTTCCATTTTAAGCTCATTTTATCATCTTTGCAGTTGTTTTCCGACGGAAATACTCTTGGTTCAAATGGTTGAACCTGACATATAATTTTTATCTCCCCAATGCTAGAACTTTGTCATGTGTACAGTGTATTTGGCATATAAATTGGAATGCATATTTTGCATATAAAATGCGATGTTTTCTGGCATATAAATTAATAATTTAGCAAGTAATAAGTAATCCAAAATGTTAGAAATAAATCAATCACGTGGAAGGTAATCCAAAATGTTAGAAATAAGTCAATTACAATGGGAGAGATAAATAACCCAGAACAGCACTATCACATTCTAGGTCCAGGGGCAATTCTGGCAATAAAAATCTTAAAAGAGAGTAAAATATTTTCTAAGTGCCAAAAAGGATGAAAATGGTATTGTGTCAAACGGTACTTGGTTAAGAATGGTATTCTATCGAAGCTCATTTAAATGATGTTATTCTTGCGAATCTAGTCTTACACGATGATAGATATGCAATTTTCTCGTTAAACACTTCACCTTTTCCTTTGGTTCATCATGCAGAAGTGCATTTCACTTTCAAATGATTACTAGCTTATTGCTCGTACTATGTACTTTCACGGTCTATTGTCTTTAAGTTGTTCACATCGACAAGCCGACAAGCATTAGTGGGGCATTTGCCATGTTGCACTTGTAACTTGTTGAATTCATCCTGCTGGCTCAATGCCTGTCGACTGAATTTTTGTCATGTAATTTTTGATTGATTTTTTTTTGTTCTAGATTTCTTCAGACTGTAGGTGATGACCACAGAACATCGCCCTACCTATACTATACTGCTATACGCCACTGCATTTTCTTCTGATATTTTGGTGCTGCTCCTACAGTTTGTGCAGTTTCCTTCTGATATATTGGTGCAGAGGCCTAACTGTACATGCGTCAACTGCATATATATCAGGTCGCAGAAACTCTAACAAGAATCCTATAGCCAAGCCTGAATGCCATAACTGAAAGAGAAAAAAAGAGGCCTGTTTCTGCTCATGGCCAATGTGTAACGCAAGCATTATGCATGTTCACACAGGGTACTGCACATAAACAGAATCCAAAATCATAGGGATGGTCAGGTCACACATGAGGATGGCACAATTATTTGCCCTGTCATAAATTTGCCGTGAGCAATGCAACCAGGAAAAGTTCTTGCCAGGAACTACACACTGTATTCCCAAATATAAGCATGTTTAGCATTGAAATTTTGTACACAATATAATCATTTGTAAAACATTGGTTCCAATGTACGGGAATCTAGGCATTTTCAGCCAATCAGGTGCTTATGAGGGGAATCCAAATAATTCAAAATTCAAAATTTGACCAACGAGTAACTGAAAAGAAATAGTTTCTTTTATCCTTAATATTTGCTAAACAACTTAGAAATTCTTATTTCTAGGAACCGAGGGAGTAGAAGAGATGTGTGCAAGTGGACTGACCTGACATGACTTTGCCTGGCTAAATACATCCATGCAGGAGCTAGACACCAGGTGGTGGGTTGAGGCTTTGTCAAGTTGATCAGTCAAGACTGAAGTGAAGGAAGGAGATATCTGAAGAATGGACATGATGAAGAGGAAAAGAACACTTCCGAAAATCATCAAAGAAAAAAAAGGTTATTGATTTGGTACTGCTTGATTGCTACAAGTGTCATAAACACCCTTTGCTTCTAAACCTGGATTGCCTGAAGATCGAAGTCATGGGTAATACGTTTTAGTGCAAGTTAGTTAGCATGCAAATCTGGTTTTTGGCCTGCTTTCGTACTGCTGCTTTATTATGCCAGGACAGGAATGTGATTATGGAAAGGTGTTTTGTGCAAGCCAAGACCAGCAATCAGCAATGCACCCTGCATCTTGATGTCGTCCCCTGTTCAAGTTTATGAGGCATCATTGCGTATTTGCATTACAAGTTTCGAATCAGGCCAAGAATAGCTGCATCAGGCAGACTTGGAAAATGATACTTCCTCCGTTTCACAATGTAAGTCATTTTAGCATTTTCCACATTCATATTGATAGTAATGAATCTAGATAGATATATATGTCTAGATTCATTAATATTAATATGAATATGGAAAATGCTAGAATGACTTACATTGTTAAACGGAGGAAGTAGCTAACAGACAGAGAATTAGGAATGAATCTTATGGCACATAATAATCATTATCAGCAGCAGCAATGGAGAACAGAAAACATAGGTGGTACGGAATATATAGACTCCAAATGATAACCGTAAAGCATTCTTTGCTTGGCCAATATTAAAGCTTCATGTTTTGCTAACTATCGCTAATCATCTGTAATTCTGAAATCTGAATCCATGTTGAAAGCCTGAAGCTGAAGTGTTTCAATTCGTTTCACAAATACCGAAGAAACTGAAAAAGCTAGTGAGTCGTTGAGCCCAGCCCAGGACCGGAATAGATATGCGAGCAGAAGCATGGTAGATTGGCCAGAAATCCCAGAAATGGAAAAGGCAAAAAGCCCAAGGCCCAAGCGAGGCTTTTATTGGGAAAAGGCCATATTGACTCTCAGATATTGCCGCAATTTTATTCCTATGCCTTAATCGGACTATCGAATATTTTAACCCCCAACTATTAAAACCGGTGCAATTTAACTCCCTCGGCTATTTTGAGGGTGGTTTTCGTTGATGTGGATTGTTAACCTGGTTCACCCGGCTAAGTCAACGTGTGGGGCCTACATGTTATTCTCTCTCTCTCCTCCGCTTCTTCCTCCTTCCGGTCTCTCCCCCTTCTATATGTCCTTCCTCTTCTCCCCTTCGGCCCTTCCTCCATCTATATGTCCTTCCTCTTCTCCCCTTCGGCCCTTCCTCCAGACCTCTCTGTTTGGGTCCTCTCATTCCTCCTCTCCACTACGGCCATGGGAAGTAGAGGGACGACAACTAGTGGGACTTGGGGACGTGCGAAGCCCTACCGTGGAATCGGCCGCGCCGTGGCCTTTGATTCGGGGGCGATCTCATTGTTATCTCGCCGCAAAAAGCCTGACGACAGGAGTTCTATAGATGGTGCCGAGGTGGAGGGTGGTGAGCTTGAAGAAGGAGGGGTCGATGTCCATCTCATCGGGGAGGGAGGGTGGCGGGAGGAGGACAGAGATCCTATATCGTCGGTGCTAATTCCACTTAGCTCCTATATCTTCCTTCCAAAATCAGGCGCTAACATTGTCAGAGCTTCTAGCCATGTCTACTCACCGCCTCGATAAGGCCGACACCATATCCTCCTCCTTCTCCTCCTCCAGGGGCGAACCATGCTTGGAAGCGTGCCACCTTGGTCTTGGTGGCAGCCGTGGCGTAGCCACTTTGCACGGTGCTTGCGGTGGCGACAACGTTGATTTGACCTGGCACGAGGACTGGGCGGCCCTAGAGGTAGAGGAGGAGTGAGGTCTAAAGTCATGGTTCCCTCGCAATGGGGCAATCGCTGTCATAATCATGTTGGTCGGTGGCAACGAGCTGCTTAACACGGGGTGCCTCGTTTGGCATCCTCATCTATGCGTGGCACAACGTGCTGGCTTGGTGATTCCGGAGATTGATGTTTGAGAGAGATAAAGGGGAGAGAGAGGAACGAAGGAATGAGAGAGAGAATACCATGTAGGCCCCTCAAGCTGACTCGCCCTGAGTAGACCAGGTCAATGAAAACTATCCTCAAAACAATATAGGGAGTCAAATTGCACCCATTTTATAATTGGGAGGTCAAGATATTCAATATTGGGGTTGAGGAATACGAATCAATTGCACCTATATTTCAGAGAATCGAAGTGAACTTGTTACTTTTTTAAGGAAACCTTGCGCTGAATTTGTCCCCACCTAAATTTTTGGCCTGAAAACGTAGATATATTTGAAAAATCAAACGTGCAAATGAAAGTGGGTTCCTCATTTCCCTCTCAAATCATGTTTCCCAAGAACTTACTGATAATAAATGAATACACAATCTGATTATCTGAAGAGAAATACGTGTCCTACACACGGAAGCGCACTCCGCAAAACCTCAAAAACGAAACGATAAGGTGTTTCTGTTCCGCGGGGGGACCCCACCTGTCAGCCCCCCAGCCCCCAAGCCGCTAGAAAGATCCAAACCCCCCTCGCCTCTCGCTGTCCCCCGCACCACACGCGCCCCGTACCCCGCACATCCACCTCCTCTCTCTCCTCCCTCCGCGCCGCGCGCCCCCAAACCCTAGAACTCCACGCACGCGACGCGAGCTCCAATCCCACCCGGTGTTCCCCCCCTCCCCCTGATTCGCCTGCAACCACCACTCCCCTCTCCAATCTAATCCTCTTCCGGCTGTGCCGTCCTCCTGCTCCGCTTCCCTTTTTTCCGCGAGATTTTGTTCTGTTTGGGGGAGAAACTTTTTTTGGGTGCTTTTTTTTTTCTTTGGTTGTGTTGTTTCAGGAGCGCGCGTGGCCTCGGAGGATTCGCGGCGGCTGGTAAGAGAGGAATCGGCTCTTTTTTTTCCCACCCCCTGCGGTTGCGGTGGGATTTTTGTTAGGGTTCGTGTTTGATCTGACGGTTCCGTGTTTCCTGGGCTAGGGTTTTGGCGCTTCCGTGAAGGGTCGTGCCCCTCCCGTCTCCGACGTCCGATCTCTGTGCGCCGGGGTTGTCAGGTGAGCCTCCCCGCCCTCTGTGCCTAGCGATTTGTTCTACGGTTAGGATCCAGGAGTGGTGCTGGGACGTGGGGTCAGTGTAATGGTATCGGATTGAATGATATCCAGATTTATGTGTGAGTTATAATATTGCTACTATTTTGTTATTTCATATATCATTTGGTGAATTAGTAATTTAGTATAGTTCATTCATTTAGTCTTTAAGATAGAAAACTACCTATACTATTACTCCATAAAATAGAAACAACACTACAGAGAGTTGGAAAATTATGTCGGTGTGTCGCTGACATGTGGTCCTACTTGCCATCATTTGATATTATTTTCTACCGTATGCATGTTTTTATGTGACCAAGCAAATCATTGACATTTACTGATTTCCCATGTTGGCAGCTACAATGTCATCATACCCTGTGCTAAACAACAGACCTATTGATCAATGGAGAGTTACTGATCTGAAGGATGAACTTCGTAAGAGGAGGCTCCCTGTTAAAGGCTTGAAAGATGAACTTGTAAGGCGACTCTTCGAGTCAATTCAGAGTGAAAAAGAAGAAGAAGAAGAAGAACAAGATAATGAAACTGTCGAAGTGAATCCAGCAGCTAACCAGGCATCTGAAATACAGAGTGTTTCTCAGGAAACTACAGTTTCTATTACAGAAGTTCACAAGGAAACTGTGGTTCAAGTAACTCAGGAAGCTACACCTCCTATCACTGAAGTAAGTCAGTCGCTCACAGTTTCAGCTGCCGAAGAGCCCCCCAAGGTTAACGCGGTGGCAACCCATGAAGCTCCCTTAAGCAAGGCCCCAACAGACAAAGGAGAAGAGCCACCAATTGCAGGAGATGTTTCCACAGTGGAAAACGAACATCTTCATGCTGAAAATAATACTGAACCTTTTGTTGAGAAGACACAAGATGTTGGCACCAACGAAGCAATTGGTGCCCTTGATATGACCAGTGCTGATGTAGAGTCAGACATGACCTCTTCTGATATCAAGATAGATGCTACTGAAGCCAGCAAAGTTCAACAACATGACACAGTAGCAACAACTGTGGATGCCATCCCAACAGATGCTGATCCTATGGATACTGATGTTGCAACTGAGAAGGCGGTTCTTAATGATTTGGGTGACACTACTTCAGTGTATGATGAAGAGCGCAAAGATTCTGAGCTCACGAATGAGGACGAGAAGCCCATCGCACCAAAACCAAATGATCAGGTACCTGAGGTTAGCCCAGATTTAGGGTCTCCAATTAAGTGTGAGTCAATTTCTAGCGATGATATATCAACTAACAAAAAGAATAATATAAAGGATAATTTGAATGCTAATAATTTTGATTTAGAACTAGAGGCTAAGCCAGAGATGGTAAAACCATCTTCTGGCATTACTTCCATAGGTGGAGATTTGCAGCCATTGGATGATGACAAAGATCTGGGTAAAAACCAGTCATCTTTGGAATACATAGATTCCACAGCTAATGTGGATGAAGGCGGCTCTCCAGAGAAACTAAATTTAGACAGGAGTTCAGGTGATGAGTCAATGGAGGAGGATGTCATGGAGATTAAGCAAGTTGAGTCCAACATTAAATCTGAAGGAACAGCTGAGCTTAGCTCAGATCATGTGAAAGAGGTGTCCCTCCCTGATACTGTTGTGGACAATTCCTCTGTTGACACGAAAGAAGTTATAGCTGATGAAAAGACAGCAGCTTCAACTGAAAAGAGGAAACTCGAAGGTTTATTTCCTGACATTCCCTTTATGCTTCTCATTATTCCTTCAACTTGAAATTGCATATTTTCAGCATAGCCATTCATGGATTATAATATCTTGAATCAGACTGTCCTTGTCATTATGATTGTGCACAAAGTTGCGCAGATTTTTATTATGTTCTTTTTTCGTCCTTAGTATCTTGCAGTCATGTAAATAAATTATACCTTCAAAGATTTAAGCATCAATAGCCTGTAAGTAAATTTGTTTTTCACCAATAGCAAACAAGTGTTACTCCCTCTGGTTGGGAATACATGACTGTTGACTCAAGTATTCCTGACCGGGGGGAGTACTGTATAATAGCGGTTGTGGGCGCTATCTGCAAAATAGCGGTTGCTATTTGGTTCATGTAAAATGTACATATTTTTATTTTTTGGACTTGGCTCTATGAATAATTAGTTTTCTAAACAATGATTTTAGAGTAAATTAAGGACTACTTTACAATTTTTAATTTCAACAAATAAACCTGTAGTTTGAGTTTTCTTTTATTCCATTATTGGAATATGGTGTCCATTATATCGATCGCTACGCTAATCTGATGGAAATCTGCTACTACCCTGCTATCTGCTATTTAGTACCTTAGCTAGGACAAGCACATCTGCTATGTAGTTCTTTAAAAAAAAAATTATGAGAGGTCATGTGCTATTGTTGTCAACCGAGTTAACTAAAACTCTTAAATATTAGATAATTTGATGAAGTTGCGTGGCTATATTGTGTGATTGCTTTGAATTAACGTCTGTTTTTTGTTTTGGTGTCTGCTGAACGCAGCTGAAGAAACTGTTGCTGCCACTGAGCCAATCAAACGCCAGCGTCGATGGGCTGCAGATGGTGCCAAAGTTCCAGAGAGACAACCAATAAGTCATAGTGGCTCTGATGCTCCTAAGGAAAATTTTCAGCCTGCTTTAAAACGATCTTTTGGCAGGTCTGATTCAACAGCTAGTGGAGATTCCCCAAAGGAGCGGGTTGGTGAGTCCTCTATTTGCTGATCACAAGTCTATATATTTCATTAGTCACAATCCTGTAATCGAACTGTTTTTCCTTTATTTTGGCTTGCAGTGCCACCATCTCAGAAACCTGCAACAGCTTCCTTGAGAATTGATCGATTTGTAAGGCCATTTACGCTGAAGGCTGTGCAAGAACTTCTTGGTAAAACTGGATCTCTTTGTAGTTTCTGGATGGATCACATCAAGACCCACTGCTATGTTACGGTATTTTTCCTTTCTATCGAAGATTTACAATTGTTCTTAGTTTGTTACTTATCATATCATCTGAATTGCATAAACATAGTTAACTGAATACATGAATTTCTGCACAAAAAATCTCTTTAGCCCTTTTTGTTAATTAGCATTACCAAAATGTGTTCAATCATGGGTATAATGGATCATTTCGACATGGGAATTCTTAACATGGACCCAGTGATAGATCATCTTGAGATGGTAACCAGAGAACTTAAAATTGGTTTTATAAATGTACTCCCTGTAGTCTAGTCAAATATATTTGATGCGAGAACTAAGTTTAGGTGTCCCAACGTCTGGAGGGAGTACTCTGTACCAGAATAATTTCATTCTAGTATAGCATTTGAAGTTATTGTGTGGACTGGTTGTGCGTTAAATGTGAGCTTGAGCTTGCGTTGTTGTTCCACTGACTTTGCCTACATGGCCCCCATCTTGCAGTTTTCATCAGTAGAGGAAGCTGTGGCTACTCGGGATGCTGTCTACGATTTGCAGTGGCCACCAAACAACGGCAATCGTTTGGTTGCTGAATTTGTTGATCCCCAGGAAGTGAAGCTCAAACTTGAACCTCCTCCGCCAGCGGCGGCTCCTATTAGCCCTGCTACTACACCAAAGGAGCCACCCTTTCAACAGGCTCAGGCTAATCAAAACATGCCTCGTCAAGCCGCTGCACCAAGGGAGCACTTGCCACCTCCACCGCCTCTTACTACGCTTCCTACATCTGACTCAGGATCAGCAAAGGAGAGGCTTCCACCCACCCCAAAGAAACAGCCGGAACCTCCTGTTGTGACACTCGATGATCTCTTCAGGAAGACACATTCTTCTCCTAGGATTTATTACCTTCCTTTATCAGAAGAGGAAGTGGCAGCCAAGCTTGCTTCACAGGGCAAAGGCAAGAGAGAATGAGGAGCTGTAGCCTCTTTTTTTCTTGTCGCTAGTATGGGGGCATGTGGAGGTATGTAGTGGTTACATACTTGCATGTGTACGCTGCAGGTTGTAGGGCTGAGAGCCTGAGATCTTTCTTCCTAACTTTCCAGGAAAAATGGTGTATTACAGCTCAGCAGCTGGCTCTTGCAGTTCATTTGAAATAACAGGAGGCGGCGACTGCTGTTAGGTATTTTGCTGCAAGAGAGAGTAGCTGTAGGCTAGTGTAGAAGCAGCAAATGTATTTTCTACAGAAGGAATGTTTTTTGTTCTATCACTGTCTAGTGTGTTGCGTCTAACTCTTGTTACTTGGAACGTCTGACGTCTGAGATTATGGTTGGTTTAAACAATCGGGTATGGTTGCGACTTGTGACTCCTGTTATAATTTAATTGCGAGGATATTTATTGTCACATTGGCCATTTTGCTTGGTAAATTCTCACCTGTATGGGATGTGCTTCGGTTTGTGTTCTTTTGCTGCTTGTACTGATAGGTTTGTCTTCTGTTCTGCTCGATACTCTTTCTGGAATGTGGCAAAATAGTTCGATGTGCAATCTGAATGCATGCTCAGTTTGCAGTACATTAGTCTCCCCAAAATAAATGTTTTAGAGCAGTAATAAGTAATAGCTGGATACATTGATACTACATAGACATAAAATTGAGGTCTCAGTGCTTCGTGGGGGTCAGAAATTGCATCTTTAGCTGCTTCGGTGTTGTAGACAACTTATATCTTCTTACACTTTAGATGATAATATTCAGAGAAGAATTAATAAGGTTGGAAGCCACCTTTTGTTGGTATCGAGTGGTGTCCTGCAGTGGATTGTGAATTAATTTTAGTGAGTATATAATATATAGGACATATATCTAGCTGCATGCGGTTGAATAATACCATTGTGTAGAACTCGCTGGACAAGTCTTTTCCGTTCCAATTCTACGAATCTCAGAGCAATGCCACCCACATGACCAACCGTGGGTTAGAAATATTTATTAACTGCATAGTCACAGAAGGAATGAGAGGGTTGAAGTAATATTTTGCATTATTACCTGTCATCTTGCTGGGGGACTTGCATAGGGCGCCCCAGGCGGTCACTCTCTTGTTCCTCCATTGTGTTTGTAAACCATTTTCTTGTTTTGCATGCTGAATGTATGTACTCGTCAATTCCTTTGATCTGGGACATAATAAAACCAATATGTCTAGTTGAAGTAAAATAGCGTGCACTAAAATTAGAAGAGCTGAAGCTTATATATTTGAGAGGTCTTTGTATTCAGCATTGCTATCTCTGAACATAACTATTGAGTCTAGTATCTGAATGTTTTCATTCTTAGCATTGCGCCAAACCTGTGGTTTTTGTTTCAATATACTGGGATGAAAACCTACAATAGATATCGTTACTATCTTTGCAGATAACGGGATGAAAACCAGTATGAGAAGATGATAAATTAAACAATTATTTATTTACCATATCTTGTTTTGAGAGCAAGATAATAGTGGACTACATGTCAACTATAAGCTTATGTGAAAGAGAGAAAAATAAGAAGTGCTGGCTCTTATGTCAGAGTTAGCTATATACATGTTTTAAGATATTTACATTAAATTATAGTAAGAAAAAGAGAGAGTAAAGAAAAAAAAGAACTAACTTCATAGATAACCTATTATATTCAGTGTTGTGGATAACGGGTGATGATACGGCCGTATATACTGACGTTAAAACGGTGGCGCCGACCTCTCCGTCACGTTTTAGCAAAACGGTGCACATTAGTGGTCCGGGACGTATAATCACCGTTATTACCGACTAATCGGCCGAATAACCGGGCCTAATCACGTGATAAGGCCCTACCCAGCCAGCCCACGATAACACGCTGGCCCATTAGTTGTGTAACCTAGCACCATATTGGTAGCAGAAAGTCGTTTTCAATCCCAAAACCCTGGCATTTCATTCCTGCCGCTACAAGCTACAAGTCTAGGGTTAGTTATTTTCATCTAATCCTGTTTCAAATCCAATCTCTCATATTTTGTTGTCCTCATTTTAATCTTTTGTTTGAATCTCGAATAGGACCTTTATGCATTACGAACCAAACATATCACTATTTGATGCACAACTATGAGTGTCTAGGCCTATATTTTACTATATATCGAGTTAATGTCGTGTTATCCTTATTTTTATTTAAGAATAGTAGGTGTATATGTAGTTATATGCATTTATGTGCCAAAAATAACAAGCTATTATGAGTTATGTACGTATATTTGTCCAAAACGTTAAATTTCCGTCAAATTCCGATTAATTGTCCGCACTCCGATTTGTCCTTCAAAGAGTAATTCTCTAACCAATTATCCTTCTAGAATCTAACTGGCTCACCTTTATTAATAATCTAGGAGCCCGTATTTAAGAAGTAATTCTTAACCTCCATTAGATCTGATAAAAAAGGGGAATCCCCTTGTTTTCTTCTCGACCCGAGTTATTGATTTACCACTGAGATATTTTCTTTTTAATAGATTTTGTCACACACCTTGCTCATTTATTAATTTAAACAACCATTTACTTAAAAGACATTGGTTTGAATTTCTAAATTGTGAACGCCAAGACCACCCTGATCTTTTGGCTAACATATAATGTCCCATTTTGTCAATCTATACTTTTTTTTATATTCATCCCCTTGCCAAAAGAATCAGGATCTATAATAACTGATTTTTTTAATGTGAATGTTATATTGGTTGATGGGTAGGTGAGGGGTATTGAAGTAATAAAATTTCTCGATTTGCGGATTGATGGTAAGTAAGAAGGTAGGAGTTAGGCTGTGTTTAGTTCGCGTGCTAAATTTTTTTAAAGTATGTGAACACACATTTGAAGTATTAAACGTAGACTAATAATAAAACAAATTACAAATTCTGCTTGTAAACTGCGAGACGAATCTATTAAGCCTAATTAATCCGTCATTAGCAACTATTTACTGTAGCGCCACATTATTAAATCATGGCATAATTAGGCTCAAAAGATTCGTCTCGCGATTTAGATGCAAACAGTGTAATTGTTTTTTTCGTCCACATTTAATACTTCATGCATGTGTCCAAACATTTGATGTGATGGAAAAGTTGAAAGTTTGAAGAAAAAAGTTTGAATCTAAACACGGCCTTGGTTTAATTTGGGACAAATTTCAAACTCTAGGAGTTGATTTATTTTGGAACGGAGGGAGTATGTGTCATAGATTTGTGAGATTGGGTTTACCTCAAAATCTGCCATGGCCGTTGGTGGAGAAATCTGCCCGTCAGTTAAAAACTAGAGAATGATTTAATCCTATTGATTTATCATTTTTTTTCTTATTCTTCTCTCCTCCCTATTATATTAGGCCTTGTTTAGTTCATACCAAACTTCCCCAAACTCCTAACTTTCCATCACATCACATTACATTCAAAACTTTCCTACTCACATAAACTCCTAACTTTTTTTTTCCAAACTACCAACTTTCCCTAAACTTCTTCCAAATTTCAGGAATTAAACACAACCTTAGTACTGCAGAGAAATATAAAAGTTCATCGATTGCTAGTTTCCCATGTACAACTAAAATAGAAATATGTATCGGCGTGAAAAGGATCGGCATCGTCCCCTCTACTTTTCTAGATTTTCATCTTTACGAGTTGGACTGCATTTGTTGATTTCAATCTCCAATAACAAGGTAAGTTACATCTATTTCGCTTGTACCGTCTATAACTTATGGACGATTCAATCCCTGCATCAGCTGAATTAATATGATACAACATCGGCCCATCAACCAATGGACTATTGTCAATGTTGTCTTTCTGGTTGGTTGCAGGATCAAACCAGTTGGCACGCCTTGAATCTAAATTTTAAGACCTACACTGAAGTAATGCAAATATTCCTTGGCTTCGTTTGGCGGTGAAAAATTTTACATTAACAGGTCGTCATCGTCTTAGACCTCTTGGGTTTTATTTATAGGCAGAGAAAGTTAGAGGCTTCCACCATAAGCTGGTTTGTGTCGTATGCTTACTTCTCCTGCAAGCTGGCTTTCACGGCAAGCTTGTTTCTGCCTCAAAGCGCTTCTCTTGTAAGATTGCTCACACTGCAAGCTTCCTTCCGCGATAAGTTATTTTCTATGTAAGTTTTCTTCCGGCGTAAGCTTCCTTCTGTACTGAGCTTTTTACTTACATCTTAAATCATCCACGTTAAAATAGATTTTATAACACCTACATCTGTCGTCAAGAAATCCACGTTATTCTTTAGGAATATACTATTTGTTATAGCAAAATTATACTCGAGGCGGGTTGCGCTTTATTTACTCCTAGTCTCCTACTGCCAATGCGTGTCGCGTGATCCCGTCCTCTAGAACGGCGAGGAGGATTCATCGGCGACTTCATCGTTGACCCAAGCGAACTTCTCCAAGAACGGGCTGGGCTTGCTCTCCGGTGGGTACGCGTCGATGCAGTCGGCCCACGCGCCCTTGTCGGCCATGTCGCCGGTCACCTCCCACACGCAGCTGTTGCACTTGAACCCCGACCCGAACGTCACCATCAGCACCTTGTCGCCTCGCCTCAACCTCCCCTTCGCCTCCATGTACGACAGCACGTACCACACGCTGCTCGCCGACGTGTTCCCCCACCTGTGCAACGTCATCCTCGACGGCTCGACGTCTCGCTCCTCCAGCCCGAAACTCTTCTTCACCGCGTCGATCACCGCCACCCCGCCGGCGTGGAGGCAGATGTGGTCCACCCCTGCCTTGAGGTTGATCTTCAGCTTGGTCTGCCCTCGGTGGCGGCGGCGCTGCAACAGATTCTGCCATGCCAGGTCGGCGGCGAGCCGGGCGATCTCCATGGCCGGGAGGACGCGCGGCAGGAGGCGCTGCAGGTTGGCGGCGAACGCGCGGAGCGCGGCCTTGGGGAGGGCCTTGCTGATGCTGACCCCGCGGAGGCCATCGTCGTCCTCGCGCTGCATGATGCAGGAGTAGGCGTCGTCGCTGGCCGCGGTGGTGGAGCGCACAAGGCGGCGGAGCTCCATCTTGGCGCGGCCGCGGTGGGCCGGGTCGCTGCTGAGCAGCACGGCCGCCCCGCCGCACCGGAAGAGGCACTGCCCCAGCATCATGGTCCTGTCCTTCCCGGCGTACCAGTGCGGCGCCAGCGACTCCGTCGAGACCACCAGCGCCATCACGGGCCGCGGCGACCGCGCGCGCATGGCGTTCCGGGCGACGTCCACCGCGACCAGCGTGGCGCTGCACCCCATCCCGGAGAGGTTGTACGCCGCGACGTCCTCGCGCATGCCGTACCGGCGCACCACCCTGGACGCGAGGCAGGGCTCCGGGAAGAAGCCGCTGACGTTGACGACGAGCACGTCAACGTCGCGGGCGCGGAGCCCCGTCCTGGCGAGGAGCTCCGGAACGGCGCCGTCGAAGCAGGCGTCCATCTCGTCGACCGCGTGAAGCTGCCCCGCGGCGAGCTCCTCGCGGCCGTCGAGGAGGTTCCGCGGCACGTAGGTCCGGTCGCCAAGTCCCGCGCGGGAGATGAGGCGGAGGAGGAAGCGGAACTCCGCCATCCCGAGCCGCTCGTTGCGCTGGACAATCTCGCCGGCGAGCTCCGCCGTCAGCGTGCGGTCATCCTCCGGCTTGTAGCAGACGTAGTCCAAGAGGTAGCACCGCGTGTGGCGGCGGCGGGAGGCGGCCGTCCATGCCATGTGCGCCACCGCGAGCGCCGGCGGCAGGAGGAGCACGACGGCGAGCAAAGGCGTGAGCTCCATCGTGTTCGCATGCATGTGATGTGTGGGTGCGAGTGCGTTTCAGAGCCAAGAGGCGACTGGTATATATAACAGCGACCGTTGCAACGACGAAATTAATTACAGTTTCTAACTTGGTTTTCTTGTTTCGCAGAACTAGTACATTTTACAGTTAGCAGTAGCAATTGACGGGCCAATATTCGCACCACATATGAATCGCATGTTTCAGAAAACGGATTTGCTGAATCTTGTGCGCCTGAAATGTCAAATCTGCAGCCACATTTTCAACAACAGCTTGGCTATTTTGTGAAAAAGTTGCGCTTGTTTTTTCAAAAAGAAAAAGAAAAAGATAAGCCAGAGTAATCTGATGTTATTTGTAAAGATAGTGAAAAGGCACACATTTTAATTATTGATAGCCAAAAAATATCGGAGGGTAGCGATAAACGGGATTATCGGAATTCTATTGGCGATAGAAAATTTTTTTAGACAAAATTAGTTTTCTAGTTTAATATAGTTTTCGTCGGCGTGCTCAATATTTTAGTTTAATATAGTTTTCATCGGCGAGCCCGGGCGGACGGTGGCTCTAGCCCCGTTGGAATACTACCGCTTGATAGTTTGATTTAGGAGTACTTCTTCCAGTTTGATTTACTTGGCGCAATCACCTAAGAACGACCAAAATATAAAAGTGTTGCCAAAACTTGATAGGAGGAAGTCGTTTTCCTTTTAACAACAGAGCTAGGGCTGTGTTCGGAAGTATCGGTTCCCAACACGCACAGTACATACAAAAAACGGAACGGTCCATTAGCACATGATTGATTGAGTATTAGCTATTTCTTTTCAAAATAAATATAATTTTTTAAGCAACTTTTGTATAGAAACTTTTTAAAAAACACATGGTTTAGCAGTTTGAAAAGCACATGCGCGTGGAATACGATGGAGTGGGGGTTGAGAACCCTGGGTTCTGAACAAAGCCTAAGCATGGCTGTGAGGACTCTTTTTTTTCTCTCTTTCTCAATCACACAAAACAAATTAAGTCGACTAAAAACACCTTTTCTATCCTGGAAACTGGAAGAATGTCTAATCCAACACTATTGCTGTTTATATTAACCTTTACCATTCTTACTGAACTTATTTTGTACCTAGAAAATTAAGAATAGGTGTCTCCATATCCAATCAACATGTAAGTCCCCTGTTTAGTAAGTCCCCTGTTTAGTAAGGATAGTCTGGTTTACTCGATGATAACACAAGGTTATGTACAGCCCTGAACACGGCCGGATCCGTGGCGCAATGGTAGCGCGTCTGACTCCAGATCAGAAGGTTGCGTCTTTCGATTCACGTCGGGTTTAATACCCCGATCAAATATCCGGATTATCTTTTTATTCCTTCGTTTTGATGTTCACGCGATAAGCGAGTTAATGCTGATACGAACACGCCTTTCTTTTTTCTTCGTTCTGATGTCACTACAGTGGCCAAGATCACCTGTGACGTATCTAAATCCTCACCTTTGACGGTTTCGCGCATGGTCAGTGATCAGTGGTCACTGGTGAGTCCAGTCACCTTTTACGGGTGGCCGACCATCACAGATGACACCCACCTCTGACGAGCAAGTTACTAGAAAGCCGTTAGAGGTGTTGGTCTCCGCTAGCCTTATGACCAGTTGGGAACCGTCATAGGTGACTCATCTCTGACGGCCCTTTAAATAAAGACCGTCAGAGGTGATGGTCTCCGTAGATAGAAGCTGTCACAGGTGATCTACATGCAACGGCCCCGAAAGTAAAGGCCCGTCACAGATAGGTCACCTCTGACGGGCCTTTATTTGCGAGTCCATCACAGGTGAGGTAACCATTGACGGATTTTGGTTCCGACCCGTCACTGATTGACCCATCGACAACGAAACAACGATACTTTGAACTTCAAGTAATCTAGCTCCAATATTTTCTCAACTCTGCCATAGTATTGATCATGCCGATCACCGTCACTAGCAGCCTCGATGCGTAACCCACTGTTCTGCACTGTGTATTTGCTGTCTTGCTTTACCGTGTGAAAGGTGTATCCATTTATGTCATATCCTTGCCAGGTGGTGGCACTCCATTCAGGACCCTATGACAACCACTGAAGTGTTTCACTAGACAAGTTCTGCAACCTGGCAATTCGGTTATTCAGCCACTCGTTGAAAGAAGACATGTGCTTGTTTCTGACCCAACTCTTTAATCGGCCTAGGATCTCCTATCGGAGAACTAAAAGGTGTTCGTCAACGTACGGCACCATCTCAGTCATAAGCTGCAGTACCTTGAAATGTGCTTTATCATATACCTTCCGATCCAACCTAACAATCTTCCTTCCAATAGTACCAACACCATCAAGCCTCCCTTCGTGATGAGATCGTGGTAATCCAATTGAAAATGTTTCTGACATGTAGTCCACACAAAAATTGATGACCTCTTTGGTGGTGTAACTCTCGATGATACTCCCCTCGGGGTGTGAACGGTTCCGTACATAACCCTTAAGGATCCCCAGGTACCTTTCGCAAGGATACATCTGCGTCATGAAAACTGGACCACAACACTTTGTTTGCCTCACAAGGTGCACGGAAAGATGTTCATCTAGTCCCACAGGAAAGCTGGACCACAATTTCTGCCTGTAGTTCATCCAGTCCCTCGGAATCAATGATCTTTTGGCCGATTGCATGGAAGAAGGAGCACAACCGCTGGATCGTGTGTCGCACGCACAACCGCTGGATCGTGTGTCGCACGCACAACCGCTGGATCGTGTGTCGCACCTTAGGAGGCAAAATATTCTTTATTGCAACGAGCAACAGCTGTGTTGTAACAACGTAGCAATCATGCGACTTCATTCCTACCAATTTAAGGTCTTGCAGTGAAACGAACCTACTAATTCTTGATGAGTAACCAGATGGAACCTTTATACCACTCAAACATGTTAGCAAATCAATCTTCTCTTCTTTCGAGAGAGTGTAGCAGGCTGGAGGAAGGTACACCCTGCCGGATTCCTTGGTTATGGGATGTAGTTCCGAGTGAACACCTATGTCTTCCAGATCTCGTCGGGCGTTGAGACCATCCTTGGTAGTACCTGGGTTAAGCAGTAATCCCATTAAACTCTTACATACATTCTTCTCGACATGCATCAAATCTATGCCGTGGCGAACTTCAAGATCCTTCCAGCATGGTAGTCTCCAAAATATTGACTTTTTTTTCCACATGCTCTTCTATTTTGTCTTTTGTTTTTCCACATGCTCTTCTGTTTTGTCCTTCGACATGCTCTTGTCTTTTGTTTTTCCAACTTTCCTCTTTTTTCCAAACTCGTTGGTTATTCCCATCACTAAGTTGTGCACCTCTGTCCCTGTTAGCTCTGCCGGGGGTCCGACTGTATCTTTGTGTCCATTGAAATTCTTTCTCATATTCCTATACGGGTGATACCTTGGGAGAAATCTCCTGTGACCCATGTAGACCATCTTGTGTGAATGCTTCAACCATTTGCTTCTTGTTTCCTTCATACACTCCAAACACACCCATTTCCCTTTCACAGTTTGGCCAGAAAGGTTGCCAAGGGCCGGATAATCGTTGATGGTACAAAACAGCATCGCATGGAGGTTGAAATACTCTTGTGCATATGCGTCCCATGTTCGTGTGCCCTCATTTCATAGCCTTTCAAAGTCATCGATTATTGGTTTAAGGAACACATCGATATCGTTGCCAGGTTGTCTCGGTCCTTGAATGAGCATGGCAAGCATAATATACTTTCTTTTGAAGCACAACGAGTTAGTAAGGTTATAGTTAACAAGCAGAACTGGCCATGTACTGTGACGACTGCTCAAATCACCAAATGTATTAATGCCGTCCGAACACATTGCGAAACGCATGTTTCTTGGGTCATTTGAGAATTCCTGGTAAATCCTATCGATTGTCCTCCATTGTACTGAATCTGCTGGGTGCCTCAACATTCTATCGACTTTCCGTTCTTCGGCATACCAGCGCACTAGCTTTGCTTGTTCCTTATTCGCAAACATTATCTCCATGCGCTTCGCAATTGGGAGATACCACACCACCTTTGCGGGGCCTCCCCTCTTTGACTTACTTCCTTCACCTTCACTCTTTGCTCGTTTGTATCTAGATGCCCCATAGACAGAGCAGACATCCAAGTCAGCATATTCCTTGTAATACAAAATGCAGTCGTTCGGACAAGCATGAATTCTTCTGACCTCCAGGCCCAACGGACATAATACTTGCTTCGCTTCATATGTCATCTGCGGTAAATTGTTCCCCTCTTGCAACAGGTCCTTTAACAGCTCAAGAAGTTCTGTAAAACTCTTGTCGGACTAGCCATTACTAGCCTTAAGCTTCATGAGTTCCAACACGCATGACAACTTGTTGTGCTTCGACTTGCATCCATCATACAATGGCATCTGACAATCTTCCATCAACTTACTAAACTTCTCAAAATCTCTGTCGTTGTCCTCTGCGTCTTCAATGTCATGCAACATTGTAGATAGAAATTGAGTGTCCAAATCTATGGTCTCTCCACCTAATGGAGAAGGTACGAACATGCCTTCTCGAGCTGCGGCGGTGTTCTCTACATCCTGATCCAACACTTCTTCAGCCGTGGCATCAGGCGCCTCTTGCTCTCCATGCTTGGTCCAGCAGATATATTTCTTCATGAATCCATTCGTTATCAAATGAGAATACACTTCTGAGCTATCAAGGATCATCTTTTCATTCTTACAGTCCCTACATGGACACAATATGTACATGCTCATCCTACTTTTTCTGTCATTCTCCGCAAATGTGACAAATTCATTGACCCCCTCTCTATACTCTATGGACGAACGATGAACATGGTACATCCAACTACGATCCATTTGAAATCAACAACATAGGAAGAAAAATATATGATGATCGATATATTGAGAATGAAGGGAAGAATAATATGTTTTTTACCTTGAATTTTAGCAAAAATTCGCCCCCCTTGCCCTTCCAACCGATTTGTGAATAGTGAACTACTCGGGATGGAAAGCAGTTGGCGGTTTGGGGGGTATTTATAGACCCAACACACCTCAAACGGGTTAGGTAAAAAAAAGCCCATCAAATGTATTGGTCATACCTTTGACAGGCTTCAATTGAGTTGCCCGTCACTGGTATCCCTTCACTTGTGACGGGCCGGGAAACAAAGTCGTCACAGGTGGCGGCCCATCACCTGTGACGGCTTATAATGCCTCGGCCCATCACATGTGAGGG